AAAGAAAGAAAGAAAGAGAAAAGAAAAGAAAAGAAAAGAAAAAAAAAAAACAACAACAACAACAAGGGCTGGGAAGCTAGCTCAGCGGTCTAAGCACCTGCCTGGCAAGTGCAAGGTCCTGGGTTTGATCCCTAGTACTTCATGCTGATCTGGCCACTGAAACCAGGTGTGGTGGCCTATGTCTGCAATCCCAGTGGTGTGGTGGAGAGGCTGAGAGGAGGATCACTACAAGTCTGAGCTACATAATGAGACCTTGTACCAAATGCATACATACAGGGGCCAGGGAAATAGCTCAGGAGAATAAGCGCTTACCTGGCAAGCACAGGGTCCTGAGTTCAATCCCCGATACTGCAAACAAACAAGCAAAAAACACATACATACATACAGACATAAAACCAAAAACCACACCAACAGAAAGCCAATGTCTGCCCTCTGATCACCCACCCCTGCCTCTCCCCCAGCCGCTGGCAGCCACTGATCTTTTTCCTGTCTCCCTAGTTTTGCCATCTCCGGGTGTCACAGAGTTGGAGCACAGAAGCATGCAGTCTGTTCCAGATGAGCTTCTCAGGGTCAGGGAGATAGCTCAGTGGAGCAAACGCCCGCCTGGGAAGCACAAGATCCTGAGTTCGATCCCCGGTACCGCAAAACACACAGATGAGCTTCTCTTACTTACTCATACACATTTAGGCTTCTCATTTCTTTTTATATTTATATTTTTTTTTATTTTTGAGGTGCTGGGGACGGAACCTTGTGTACCAGGCAAACACCATATCACTGAGAAATACCTAGCTCTTGCTGCTTTTTATTTAATTTTATTTTTGTTTTGTTTTTTGAGACCGGGTCTCCCTGTGTAGTTGAGGTTGGCCTTGAGTTCACTATGTAGCGCAGGCTGGCTTTGAACTCAAAACAATCCTCCTGCCTCAGACTCCCAAATGCTGGGATTACAGGTGGGTGCCACCACACCTGCCTTTTTTTTTTTTTTTTTTTTTGAGATAGGGTCTCCCTGTGTAGTACATGCTGGCCTTACACTCTGTAAATACCAGGCTAGCCTCAAACTTGCAGTGATTGGCCTGCCTCAGCCTCCTGAGTGCTGGGATAATGGCTGTGTGCCACCATGCTTGGCTCCTTGTTTCTTTGTATCACTGAAGAGTAATACATTGTCCCTGTGGGGCATCCTGGTTAATTCCCAGTTACAGCACTTGTGTGACTGATTTCACAGTTTAATCCCTTCTGCAGAAGGCTGAGGCAGGATGGAAGGGGTGAGCCCAGCCCGAGCAGTTTAGGGATGTGGTGGTATCTGAAACTAAAAAATAAGAAATGGGCTGGGGGGGGTGGTAGCATAATGATCTTGGGTTCAAACACTGTACCACAAAGCAAGGAAGCCGGAGAGGGACAAAGAGAAACAGAGTTGCCCCTGCCTTGCTCCGGAGGCAGGAGCCAGGCTCGGTGTGGGCTGCGCCAGGTGCCAGCCAGGGCGCCTCTTCCTCCCCCGGCTCCGCGGGGCCTTCCAGACCTTCCACCCACCGCAGGACTGTCCCGCAGGTCTCCTTCCGCTACCATTGCCAGCTGTACTCCGAATGGAGGAGGACGAACCAGAAAGTCCGCCTGAAGATCCGGGATGCGGACGGCTCCGAGGACGCCCACCACTCCCCGCTGGCGGCTGGACTCCTGAAGAAGGCGGCAGAGGAGACGCCCGTGTGAAGCCCAGGGCGGGCGGGCGGCCGAGGCCGCTGGCCGAGCCCTGGTGGCGGGCGGGACGGAAACCGCCGAGCTTTCCTGCGCCTCCCGAATGCTTCTCGGGCCCAGAGCCACTTCCGGCGGAGCGTGGCCCGCGATCCCACGTGAACACATTTTCAGGGTTTTTGCACACTGTTGGACCGGACAGGCTAGACGGACGCGGCCCTGAGCTGCACACGGAGCGCGCGCCCTGCCTCGGTCTGAGGCGCGCCCGCTCCCCGCCGGTAGCCGGCGGCCGTCGGGGTGCCCTCGCCGGAAGGTCCCAGCAAGCTGCCCGCGCTGCTCCTCCGCATCCGGCAGGCTCGCTTTCCCGGCACCTTTGACTTTCTAAAGTTGCACTGCGTTTCAAAAAACCACCCCTGAATGAATAAAAGGAGCCCTTGCTGGACAAAAGGGACGCGTCAGTTACATTTTTAAGGGGCTCCAAGTCAGGGACAAGATGGAGGGATGGGTTATGAAGCCCACAGGGAGAGAGTCTGAGTTCGCACTACAAGAGCAGGTAGCAGCGCAACATCATAAATGATTTTAAGACTAAGACAAGAAAGCCAGGTGATGGCAATCGCAAGGGCCTGAGTTCAATCCTTGGTTCTGCAAAAAAAGAAAAGAAAAGAAAGAAATGAATTTAAAAATCTTCTGAGGCTTTAGGGGCCGGGGAGATGGCTCAGTGCCTCTCAAGCTCTGGGCCTCAGTTCAATCCCTGGTTCAGCCAAAAAAAAAAAGAAAAAGAAAAGAAAGCGTGTACGTTGCTATAGTAACACTAGGGGGACAGGCCCTTCGCAAGTTCCTGGCCAGCCTGAACGACATAGTGAGAATCTGTCTTAAAAGGGGGGGGGGGGTGTTGAGGGTGTATCGCCGGAGCACAGCGCCTGTCTGGCAAGCGGGGCCTTGAGTTTGATTCCTGGTACCAAAAAACAAAATGGGGGTGGGGGGAAAAGTCCAAAAAAAGCAAGAAGGAGGCTACACAAGAACAGTCTCTACTCACATGCCCTCTCCCAGGGGCCTTTACTTTTTAATTTTTTTTTTTTTTTTTTGTATATTAGGGAAGGGTGTAGCCTCCCACGCCCAGTCTCAGCTCACCCCCCCCCCCATGCCCGGGGATCGAACCCGCGGCCCCCTGCTTGCAGGCGCTTTAATCCACTGAGTTATTTATAGGGGCCTTCTTTTGGGGGTCACCGTGGGTGAAGAAGCCGGGTATCGTTTATTCCTCAGCGTCTTGTTATCACCCCCTGGGGAAAGAAACTGTTGTTACTTCCCGTTTTCCAGGAGAGAAGATGCGGCCCCGCGAGCGGAAACGCTAGGAGGCCGAGTCCAGCCGGGTGTGTGCTGCCCCCTTTTGGAACTCGCGCCCCACCACCTCCGCGAGGCAGGGATGCCGCAGGACGTGGCCAGGCCCGGGAACAGCAGCCACTTTCTGAGGCTTTTTACTTGTTGAGCTGTTTACATCGCAGACCTCTCGGCATCTGCTGAGTTGAAGGCGGAGCGGAGGGCAGTCGTGAAAGGTGACTCCGGCGAGTGTCTTATTCAGCCACTTGCAGATGAGCAAACCGAGCCTCTGGGTGGCCGGGTCGCTGGCTCAAGGTCTGGCGCTTTTTTCATCTGCCTGGTACTAGCTCATCCACTGAGGAAACTAAACCCTTTTGATACAGGGGAAAGAAACTCCCGACTTGAGATAATGTCTAAGGCGAGTTCGTGTTCTCTAAAACTGAAGAATGAAAAAAAACAAAACAAAACAAAACAAAACAAAAAACTGAAGAATGAATTTTAGGAACCATGGAGGTTAAGAGTAGGATATATTTATGGTGGGAATGAAAATTTCTGTCTGGGGGGGGGGACAGAAGGTATGCCGAGTTCGTTGTCTCTGAATCTGCCTTTCCTAGGGATTTTTACAGAGCAAAACCACGAGGTGAGGCCTGTCCAAGGTGGGGAACTTGCCAGGTGGGGCAAACATGATAACCACTACACTGCAAAAACCCACTAGGGGGGCTGGTGAGATGGCTCAGTGGTCTAAAGCACCTACTTAGAACAAGCTAAGCAAAGCACAGGGACTGTGGTTCAATCCCCCAGCACCACATGCCAGCCAGCCCCGCCCCTGGTGGGCTGAACTGGCCACACACACACTAGATAAATAAATAAATAAATAAATAATTTGAAAAAAAAAAAAACCCACTAGGGAACCTGCCAGGTGGGCATGAGGTGGGACAAAACTGTGGCCAATCGATGAAATTATAATTGCTCGTGTAAAACTGATCAAATCGAGATCAAATGGGGAAGTCACATTGCAAGAGGGCATGCATAGAGACCAGGGGGTTGGGTTAGTGACTTTCTGGCTTTTTCCAGGTGATTGATTCCTCTTTAGAATATCAATCACTAATGTCCATCCCTAGGGAGGTATGTGGGTACATTCGTTTCATCTTTTGTCTTGAGGTCTGGCCCACAGCGTAAGTATGGAGTATCCCAGGTCTCCCACTATTGCAAGGTATCTCATCTTCCATACTGGCTCCTTCTGAGGACCTACGCCTGTCTGACTGCCTATAGCACCTATCTAACTCAGCTGCCTACAGCACCTTCAGCCCAGCTTGGAAGGGAAAGGGGAAGCTGGTTTTGTAAAGAACAAAGAGCAGCCTGAGAGATCCCGTGGCGGGGACATTTTTTTTTTCCCCCGGAACCAGGGATTGAACTCAGGCCTTTGCACTGGCCAGGAAAGCGCTTATTCCTCTGAGCCATCTCCCTGGCACCGAGCTGGGACAATGTGAAAGAGGGGTGGGCATGGCTCAGCGGCCTTCAGGCAGCATTAACTGATGCCCGGCGCTGGTGTCTGCAGAGCAAACTCAGGCTTGCACTCAAGCATGGTGCTCTGCTGCCTGGCGCTCACTTCTCAGGCGACTTTGGAGTGTGGCGGCCCTGGAAAGGACGTCAAGACGTCCAACGATGAGCCGTCAGGAACTGTGGACCACGCATGGTGTTGCACGCCTAAATCTCAGCATTCGGGAGGCTGAGGCGCAAGGATCAGCCTAAATTCAAGACCAGCCTTGGCTACATAGTGAGTTCAATGTCAGCTTGAACTGCATAGCGAGATCCCGTCTTAAAAACAGAAACGCAAAACAACATCAACAACCACAAAACAAAACACGCAACCAACCAAATAAAAAGAACTGTGAAAGGCGTATTCTCTGTAAGTCTGACGTAATTTTTTTTTTTTTTTTTTGAAACAGGGTCTACCTGGCCTTGAATTTATGGCGATCCTACTGCTTCAGCTCTCCAGGGCTGGGTTTACAGGATGGGCCACCACGCCCAGCTTGTAAATGTCTTCTACTATTTTCAGTTATACTAAGGAGAAAGTTTTATTTGGTATTGCTCTGCGTGTTGGAATCATCTAAACCTTCAGGAACCCCTAGACAGGACTCTGCTGCATTTCTGGCCAGCCTCTGGTTATAGACAGCTTGGAGTAACGAGAACTGGGTTTGTGCGCTTGGGTGTGGGGTGTGCACGGCTTCCCCGCACTATTTATGGGCGGGTGTGTAGTATCCGCTAAGTCTCTAAAACGAATTGGACGCGGGAATGAATGAATCGACAGCAGCCGGTCTGCGCCTGCGCCCGTCGGAGGCGTGGCCTGCGGAGGGGGCGTGGTCAGAGAGGAGTAGGGGTAGGAAGCGGGAGCAGTCTGTGTCGCTCTCAGGCGTTACTGGTAGCTTCGGGTCACGTGAGCGCGCAGGCGCAGCGCCGCGCAGCCCGCTCGCTCACACAAAGCCCAGACGCGGAGAAAATGGCGGCAGGGGTCGAAGCGGCGGCCGAGGTGGCGGCGACGGAGCCCAAAATGGAGGAGGAAAGCGGCGCGCCCGGCGTGCAGACCGGCAACGGGGCTCCGGGTCCGAAGGGGTAGGTATCGTACGGTCCTCGTCGCGGGCGGGTCGGGCACTTCGCGGCGGCTCCGTTAGGTCTGTTGGCCTTCTCCCGGCGAGGCTTCGGCGTCGGCCTTTCCCGGCCCGGTGGGGCTGGGGGCGGCTGTGAGCGCGGGAACCGGGTGTCCCCGGGTCGTCTGCAGGATCTCTCTCGACTGCCATACTTCGGGCTCGGCTCCCTTGATCCCTGCCGGCCGGATCGGACCCCACCGGCGAGGCCGCTGGCCCGGCCGTTGCGTGCGCGAGTGATGGCGCGGGCGGGCGCGCGCGGGAGCCGGGGGACCCCGGAGTCCGAGGCCTAGAGCTCGGCAGCCCGCCGGTCGGGTGACCTTGGGCGAGCGGTTTCGGCCCCCGCCACTCGGCGCCGGGTCTCAGTTTCCCCATTCGCGAAGAAGGGAAAGAGGAGGCGCGCGCTGGGCGTCGTGCTCGGCGGCCGGGGTAAATGGTGCCCGTGGGGGGGCGCGGGGGCCGGGCGCGCAGAGGCCAGGTCGGCTCCCCGGCCCCCGCCCTGCCGGAAGTGCCCGGCCCGAGCCCCTCCGGTGCCCTGCTTGCTCCCCAGGTGCGCAGTAGGGATTATGGCGCGCTCCGAGTTGGGCCTTTGAAACCTACAGCCAGAGGCTGGGAGGCCGCTTCCGTGCTTGTCGCGAGCGATCTCCGTGTTAGAAGGGGATCGATCACTTGCTTTCAGACTGCCCTCCTCTCCAGACCTGTTCGGGGCTCTTGCTGCCTCTTATTCGTGGTTTTTTAAAGTTTACAGAGCTAAGCGTGAGCTTGTGCCCCGTGAAACCCACGCATTCTGATTACTGTCGCTGGAGAGAGGTGCGCAGAAATGTTTTGGCGCTGACGCCAGCAGCCGAGGAGAGTCAGGAAAGCGGGCCACATACTAAATTTTGCGTTTCCCCAATTTTTTCCATTGTTGAAGTGAAAGGTACAGAAAATTTTGCATTTCAACCTTTTTCTTAAAAGTTTTAGACAGGATCTCCCTGTGTATTAGGGGCTGGAGCTGCTCTGGAGTTGTGTAGCACAGTCTGCCCAGGATCTCCTTCAGCTCCTCCAGCCCTAGCCCAGTGCTGGTTACAGGTGTGCGCCATCGGCCCCGACTGTCCCTGTGTCTTTTTTAAAAAAAACCGTTTTTAAGTGTACGGTTATTGGGGTCGAGTACATTGATTCATAGTGTTGTGTGACTGTCCCCACTATTAGCGTGCAGCACTTTTTTATCATCCCAAATAGAAAATACAGCCTTAAGCCCTGTCTCTTCACATTATGCTTTCATAATGTCTGTTATAACCTATGTGTGTGATTTTGCCTTCTGAGAATTTTAATTTGGAAAACTGTAGGCTCGTTAATGAGATTGAAAATGAATATAGTGAAGTACTTATGCTAATGAACAATTAGCGCTTATTGGCTATATATATATATATATATATATATATTTTTTTTTTTTTTTGGTGGGACAGGGGATTGAATTCTGGCCCTTGCGCTTGCCAGGGAAGCGCTTATTCCACTGAGCCGTCTCCCCGGCCCCTTACTGGCTGTATTGTTAAAATAACAAATTTGGAGAAAATTCCAGGTGGTTCTTCTCTTTAGTTGGAGAGGAGCAAAATACTGCACCATTGTTACCTGGTTCTTAGAAATCAAGAGCAAAGCACCTCCCTAATTATTGTTTCGTTTTTAATTTTCACCATTTGCATAGGGTGCCTGTTAGGGTTTCTGAGGGCCCTGTTTGAGGGCTTAAGATACATATTTGTGCCAGGTGATGGATGCCTGTAATCTTAGCCCTCAGAAGGCTGAGTGAGGCAGGAGGATCTCTGCAAGTTTGAGCCCAGACTGTCTTAAAAAATGAAAGTAAAACAAAAAGGTACAGTTGTTTCCTGTATATTGATGTGGGGTGTTGCTAGTGCCTTGTGAGTTGAAAAGTTGAATTAGTTACAGATGATAGCACCAGGAATACATTTTTCAAATTTTCCGCTCCATTTTCAAGTAGCCATTTTGTGCCTGAGTCATTTGAGGAACAGCACTGGACAGAATGGTTCAGAGTTAACATCACCTTTGTTGCAAACAACCTGAGTCTGGGACTGGCTTACTAAGTGTATATACTTAAGGAAAATGGCAACCCTGTGGAAAACTAGCTTTTGCTTTGCAGAGTTTCTGAGGCCCAAGTCCGGAGAAGAGTGTGTTTGATGTTTTTGTAGTTGTGCTGTGTTAGAAACTGAGAGTGGGAAGCCCCATCCCCGGGGCTTGGTCTCCTGCAGGAGGGGGAGGAGGAGCCTTAGGAGATGGTTGAGGTGAAATAGAGAGGAGTGGAGCTTGTGTGTTGGAGCCACACCCCAGCCCGTTCTACAGAACTGAAGTTTCTAAACTAAGGTCAGAGTGGGGCCAGATGGTGGGCAGTGAATTCCAAATTGAGGAATTTGGATTTTTATCCTGAAGGCTTTTGAGAGATGGGAGGACAATAGAAACTTGGTTCTTCTGATCTGCGCCTGCACCCCAGAGGGCTGCAGCCAGCAGGTTTGGTAGAGCCCCCAGGCTGGGAATGTTAGCTGTTAGTTCTCTCTTGGAAGTGCTTTATTTTGATGAGAAGTGTATCCCATTTAAAGTCAAGATTAAAGTACAGAGTAGATTTAGTAAAAAAAAAAAAAAAAACATTTGGAGGAACATGGAAGTTTAGATTGGTTTATTTTTTAAAAAATACAGTAAAGGTGATAAGATTGAGTTCACCTGTTTCTCTTCCTAATCAAGTGGATTGGATATATCTGTATATCTCTCTATATATAGTACAGGGTCTCACTACACAGCTCAGACTCCTAGTGATCATCCTGTTTTCTGCCTCCCCAGCGCTGGGATTACAGGCCTGTGCCACCATGCCCGGTCTCATCTGGGGGCGGGGCCAGCACCGCATGTGGTGCCTGGGATTCCCCCCCCCCAGGCAGGTGCTTAGTCTGGACCTTGAACTCAACTGTGTAGACCAAGCTGGCCTTGAGCTTGCCCAGATCCTCCTGCCTCAGTCTCCAGTGCTGTGATTCAGGCATGTGCCACCACATCCGCCCCCTTTAGGTAGTTTGTACAGAAGAACATGTACTGCTGTTTTTTGTGAAGGTATTCTTTGTTGGTTCTCAGCACTCCTGGGAACAACCATGAATACAGGTTCTGCTGGTTCTTCTGGTAAAGAACCTGATAGGAGGGGCCAGGGAAATAGCTCAGTTGAAGGGCCTGAGTTCAATCCCTGGCTCTGCAAAAACAAACAAAAAGAACCTGATAGGTAAAGAGCCAAGTCATGTGTTAAACTGGATCTGGAGCTAGAACAGTCCTCTCCACAATTCAGCTGTATCAGAGGAACACAGGATTTCAATTGTTTTGTTTTGGGTGTTTTTTTGGCAGAACTGGGGATTGAACTCAGGCCCTTGTGCTTGCCAGGGAAGTGCTTATTCCACTGAACCATCTCCCCGGCCCCTAAGCTCAGGATTTCAAGAATGTCTACATTTTGATCTTAATCAAAAGGCTGAGAAGCAATTGAAGAATTTCTGTGAAATTCTCTAAGGATGGTTGTCAAGGATGAAGGAGGATTTCTTTTATTTGGGGGGAAGTACTGAGGGTTAAATTCAGGACCTCACGAGTGCTAGGCAAGTGGTTTTCCACAAAGCTGGGGCTCTCCAGCTCTTACTACAAAATTATTTTGAAACGTGTCGTCACTCAATTATCCAGGCTGGCCTGAAGTTGATAATCCTGCCTCAACCTCTGGAGTAGCTGGGAATACTGGTATGTACCACTGTGCCCAGTTGAAGGAGGGTTCTCGTTGCTCAAACATGGTCAGTATTTCAGGGTATTTAAATTGCCTCTCAGACTATCTTTTCCTTGACAGGGGAACATATAGAATAAGTGAGAGTGCATGCTGTACTTGGGAGTGGTATGAAGAAAGTCACATTTCATTCATTCCTTCTTTGAGGCAGGGTCCTACTGTGTAGTTCAGGCTGGCCTGGGCTCAGTATAGAGCCCAATTTACTTGGCCTCCCCAGTGCTGGGATTACAGACATGCACCTTTATTCTTGGCTCACTTTTAATATAGTGGATAGGCCTTTTATGGATAGGTGCTCCTTTTTGTTAGTTGTGATCTTGTGTGCAGTTTACTTTTTTTTTTTCGGAACCAGGGATTGAATACAGATCCTTGTGTTTGCCAGTCAAGAGCTTATTCTACTGAGCCATCTCCCCGGCCCCTGCAGTATACTTTTTTTAGGTGCTGGGAATCAAACGCACCACTTAAACCTTGCAAGGCTGGCACAGTGCTGCTGAGCTATATCCTTGGCAATAATTATGAACATGGTGGGACAATTACTTGATAAATGTCAGTTTTCAGGGACCTCAGTGAAACAATTTCGAATCCATATTAAACATAATCTTGTTTTAATGGCTTGGAAGTTACTTAACATATGTTAGGCTCATCTATCAGTTTATTCTTAAATAGCAAGTTGATGTCAGGGAGATTTTTATTTTTTCACTTCAGGATTTGGGGTAGATAATTTGGGTTTCACTCATAATTTGGAATTAAGGGCCAACTAGCAAAGAGAACATTAGTAAAAATGTTAAATATGGAGCCGGGGAAATGGCACAGTAGAATAAGTGCTTGCCTGGCAAGCACAAGGGCCTGAGTTCAAAACCTCCCTTCAAAAAAAAAAAAATGTTGGGGCTGGTAAGATGGCTCAGTGGTCTAAAGCACCTACTTAGAACAAGCTTAGGGACCACGGTTCAATCCCCCAGCACCACATGCCAGCCAGCCCCGCCCCCTGGTGGGCTGAGCTGACCACACACACAAAATAAAATAAAATAAAATAATGTTAAATAGTAGATCTATCTATTGTATTGTGGTTTCAGTTTCTTTGAAATGCTACAAATTGGTTAATTTATGTCAAAGGTTAAGTCAAGCTGTTAACTGGAGTTAGGCTTGAAATTAATGAACTAGGGCCAGCCAAATAGCTCAGCAGATTAAAGCGCCTGTTTAGGCAGACTCAGCAGTGGGATCGATCCCCTTTCATAAGTGACACAGTCTGTACATACTTCAGATGTGCACATGGTACGTATTCAGTACATGGGGCCTTCACTGAAGTCAAGATAATCTGTAGCCCTTAGAAATATCCTCTTGCCTATTTGTATATTTGTTTTTTGGGACTGGGAATTGAGCTTAGGGCCTTGCAGGCAAGCATCCGGTGCCCAAGTTGTAGCTCCGGCTCCCTCTTGCCTGTTTATAATCCTTCTCTCTGGTAATGTTTCCTGCCACTACTCCCCTGTACCCCTTGATCGGCTCTCCCCGAGTGTACACCTTTAGTTCTCAATGGGTGAGCCCCCCCCCCCCAAGAGAATTTGGAAACATCTTAGAGAAATGTTTTTCACCTTTGTGACTAGAGGGTGGCATTGTAATTGGTATCCTTGAATAGAAGCTCTGGGTACTTTTAATTTTATTATTTTTTATTTTATTTTTAATTTTGTGTGTGGGGGGGGGCAGCTCAGCCCACCAGGGGGCGGGGCTGGCTGGCATGTGGTGCTGGGGGATTGAACCGTGGTCTCTTTGCTTTGTTGCTAAGCTTGTTCTAAGTAGGTGCTTTAGACCACTGAGCCATCTCACCAGCCCTCTGGATACTTTTAAATGGACTGGAGTACGCTGAACAGATCTCAGCAGTAAAAGATTACCTGGCAGCTCAGCTGCAGTTGGTTTGCTAGATCAGACGTTTCAGTCTGTAGAAACACACAGTGCATATTCTTGTGTGGCTTCTAGAACTTGGGCCCAGGCCTCTTGCCTTAGCCTTCAGAGCGCTGGGAGAGCAGACATGCCACCACGCTAGGTTGTGTGAATTGTTTTGCATTTGATGCTAAGTATAGCATATGGGTAAGCTGATACGCAGCTTTTGAGTTTCTTAAATACTGATTTTATTTTCCTTATAAATAGCCAGCCAAGTTTATATGCTAGAACAAGTGGACATATAATCTTGGATCTTCCTCTTAAATTTTTTTTTTAATTATTTATTTTTTTTTGCGGAACCGGGGATTGAACTCAGACCCTTGTGCTTGCCAGGGAAGCGCTTATTCCACTGAGCCATCTCCCCGGCCCCTTCTTCCTCTTAAATTTTAACCTCAAGTTTGTTACAGATAGTTCATAAATGTCAGTTCTAATATCTGTAATGTTCCAAATAAGGTATTTAAAAAATTAAAGCAATTGGGGGCTGGCGAGATGGCTCAGTGGTCTAAAGCACCTACTTGGAACAAGCTTGGCAGAGCACAAGGACCACGGTTCAATCCCCCAGCACCACATGCCAGCCAGCCCCGCCCCCTGGTGGGCTGAGCTGGCCACACACACACACACACAATAAATACATAAATGTTTAAAAAAAAATTAAAGCAATTTATCATTGTTGCCAAATTATAATCTTCATAGAAACATTTCTAAAGGCTTTCAGAGTTATTTGCTATGTATGTTTTAGGACAAGGGAAGACCATTCCCCTCCTTATTCCTGAAGGTAAGTGAGCACATAGCATTAGATATGGTGAACATATGGACTGCAGGATAGCACAGTCATGTTACCTGCTCTTGAATGTGTCTTAGTTGGATTCTGTGGTGAATGCAGTATTTTTTAATTAATTAATTTATTGTGATGGGGATTGGACTCAGGACCCTGTGCTTGCCAGGCAAGCACTTTCTCTACTGAGCTATCTCCCTGGCCCCGAAAAGTTAACTTTTAAAAGCTGGAAATGATAAAGCAAAGTGATCTAACCCTATTTACTTAAGAGGAAACTTAATGGAAAGAGGAAACAGTTACCAGCGCAGGGTATATTTTGCAGTGGTGCCGAGCCAGCATTTGGGCACTACACACACAGCTGCACTCAGCCGTGAGTCAGGTGGCATGGATCAGCACCAGCCCTGGCTGGACACCCAGCTTCTGTGTTGTTCCTAGCCCTAGGCAGATTATCAGAGCATGGGTGCTAGACACTGTCACCTGCTGTGATTGTAATGACTTGTTTATGCAGTTTGTAACTAACAGGTGAGCTGAGCAATCTGGAAACAGACTACAAGTATTGTGTCAGAATGTTTTAAGTATAGATCCTTAAATCTGGGAGGTTTAAAAACAATCAGTTGTAGTAAAGTCTGTAGACCCTCTTGTGTGCTGTAGCATGTTGACCTACCTGTTATGATTTTTTTTTTTTTTTGGTGGAACTGGGGATTGAACTCAGGCCCTTGTGCTTGCCAAGGAAGCGCTTATTCCACTGAGCCATCTCCCCAACCCTGTTATGAATTTTTAGTAAGTTTTCCTCCTCATCTGCCAAGAAAAGAGTAAGAAGAGCCTTTACAGGTGATGCTCTGGTTGGCAGGCTTTCCTAAGCAGTAGACAGATGTGTGGTTGTGGATTTCCTGTGGGATTTGCTTTGTGGTCTGCAACCACACCAGCCAGGTCTCCTGTGAAATTGGGGATCCTGTTACTGAAGAACTCAAGGAATCTGGGATTGCAGTGGCCATGACACTATTCATCAGCTCGTGTCCAGGGCAATGTGTAGATCTTGCATTGGTGTAGCTCACATCAAGAAGAAGCTGCATGTGTGTCAAGTGAGAGAGAAATCACACTAGTGTGGTACTTTCACTGGCATGCCTGTTGGGTTTGGATGTTGGGTGCCAGCAAAGATATTTTAAGGGCATAAAAAGCTTACTTGGAGAGGGTGTTGACAGCGTCTTACGACGTCAGTCTGCCGTAGACCTTCCTTCCTCAGCCTCTGGGGTGCTGAGATTACTAGTGTGCACTACCATGCCTGACTCTCAGAAAGTTAACTTTAAAGCTAGGAGTATATGTAGCCTGTGCCTCTAAATCCACCCACCATTTGGGAGGTCAAGGCTTAGGATGAATGTGAGGCAATGAAACTTTGTGTCAGAGACACCCCCCTCAAAAAACAAAGTTAACTTGCAAGTTTTTCCAAGTAACTACATTAAAAGAAAGTCCTCTAGCTACCATCTGATATTTGAACTGTCCTCCCACAAAAGGAAGTGATCCCTGAATAAAGTCCAGCCATTTAATTATAGTTTACAAGTCATCAATACCATATTCTTAGCTTTTTTTTTTTTTTTTCCCCTGCATCACAAACTGTGGTTTGTGACTGGGTTTTCACTGGAGAAATAGCGCTGGGGACTCAGTTTGCAAGGCTGAGAGTCCTGAGCAACTCTGAGGCTGCTGCCTCACACTTGTCACCTTCCTTGGTGCCTCCCTGGGCCAGAGTGGGCCGAACCCACTAAGCGTAGAGAGCAGCCTCCTGCCTGGGAAGACTTTTACATTTCTTTGTTTCACTCTAAACCAAAACTGTATCTGTGGAGCTTAGAGATGCGTGTTACAGCTCGGAGACACTAATGCCTTAATGAAAGACAGCACAGGAAAAGTTCCTGAAGGGGAGGCTCATAAAGTGTGCCACCAGAACACCCACCCTTTATTGCTGAAGGTACGATCACTTATGTTCTGTCTTCTGCCTGCCAGGGTTCCTCAGGCTTGGACGTGTCAGTTCACAGTGGTGGGGTCCCATGGTTGTCTTCCCTTCTTCCCTCCCTTCTTTGCACCCTCAACTTCTTGCCTTCTCTTGGGCTGGGGATGGGACCCAGGGCCTCATCAGACTTAAGTACATATGCTCTACCCCTGAGCTACACTCTAGCCTCACTTTCCTTTCTTTGAGTTTTATTTTAAATGTAAATTTGCCAGAGTTCCCCAACGGTCAGTACTTCATTCCCAGAACTTTACTTCCTTCAACACCGTACTACTCCTCTGCTTCCTGAGTCCCCACTATCTGCCTGTGAATGTGCTTGTCTGTGTATCTCATACAAGCAGAATCATAAAGTATTCGTCTTTTGGTGTCTGGCTAATTTTGTAATGTCCTCAGAGTTCTTCTGTGCTGTAGTGTGCCAGTCTTTTAACTGGGCATGGTGGCACATGCCTGTAATCCAGCACTGGGGAGGCTGAGGCAGGAGGATTCCTGCCGGTTTGAGCCCTGCCTAGGGTGCATAGTGAGTTCAAGGCTAATGTAGACTACATAGTGAGACCAAGCCAGAACTTCATTCCTTTTGATGGCTGAATAATATTCCATGCTCAGTGTATCTCATTTTGTTCATTTCATCCTACTGGTCTGCACTTTGTTTCATCATTTGGCTTTTAATCCATAATGCTACTATGAACACTGGTGTACAATGTTGGATTATCTGCCTTACATTTTGGGGAGCAAAACCCCAGAGAATTACTGGGTTATATGATAATTACATATAATTTTGCATAGCTGCCATGTTAGCTTTTCCTAGTGAATCACTGTTTCACATTCCTGTGGCCCCGCTCCCCATAGAAAACATTTTTTTTTTTTTTTTTTTTTAGTGGAACCAGGGATTGAACTCAGGCCCTTCCGCTTGGCAGGGAAGCGCCTTTTCTACTGAGCCATCTCCCTGGCCTGCTAGAAGACATTTTGATGAAGCTAAAACTGGTTGCCCCCTGAGTACTGCCTCGTTTCCATTCCATGAACTCTTACAAGTATTCCCTTCTTTCCTGTTTTCATCTCAGAATGAACACACCTCAGGCAAGGAGTTGGTCTTCTCTGTGTTACAGCCCGTAGGAGCATTTGTGAGCCTGCAAGAACATTAATAGATGTGTTTTTTTTTTCCTAATAGATGGATTTTAAGGAGCAGTCAGTGTAGCTTTGCTATCGAGCACTTTGGCTTGAGTGTCTTATATCAAACCAGTCTTGGTTTTATCTAAGTTTGTGAAATTGTGAACCTGGCAAATGATAAATACTGGCTTCACTATTGTGCTAATATAAACCTTTTCCCCTCTTGAATTTAGTGAAGGAGAACGGCCTCAGAATGAGAAGAGGAAGGAGAAAAATATAAAAAGAGGAGGCAATCGCTTTGAGCCATATGCCAATCCGACTAAGCGATACCGCGCCTTCATTACGAACATACCTTTTGATGTGAAGTGGCAGTCTCTGAAGGACCTGGTTAAAGAAAAAGGTAATGGTACCAGTGGTGCGCTGGGTAAGGAGGTTGGTGTGTCATCTTCTCTGTGGCTAATTCCTTGGTTCCTCTTTGTGAGTGGAAACCGTTCTGGGAGGAGCGTGTGTTCTGTCCAGGCCTAGAGTTTGCCCCACTCCACTTTTTGTAGCCATGCCTGTGTCAAGGTCGTGTGTATGGTCCTTGTTGTACAAATGATTTCATTGGCTTAATATGGTTAATAGGACTCTGATTAGTCTTGAAGGGAGCCTTTTTGTGTTAAGGAAACTCATGGAATTCTTACATTGCTTGGAGAAGTTTTTCTTTTTAAATTTGTTTTATGCTTTTAAAATATGACAGAAAGTTAGCTTGTTTAAATTTTGTGGATGTCCTCTTCGGATCAAAATTTGGTAGCTGGAATGTGTGCTGTTCAGATTCCAAGCATAAAATACTAGCTTCAGTTAAACCTCTAGGCTTCACCCACCTACCCCCAGAAAAAAATAGATTGGCAATTGCAGAGCTCAAAATCCGGTATCTGCTTGGTGCCATGGTTCCTCATGGGTGCACATTGGCCGAGTCCAGGGTCCATGTTCTGGCTTAGGGCAGAGGGAAGTAACCCAGCTTAGTTGCCACCAGGAGGTCTGAGGTGGCTGCCCCGGCCTCCTGCCTCACCCTCACAGGCTGCTTCGGTGTCCTCTCATTCCTCACTCCTCTCCTGCTGCTGCCTTCCTTTCTTCCCCACATCTTGGTCCTGCTGGTGGCACTCAAGACTAAATGATTGCTCAGCCCTGGTTTAGATAAACCTGTCGCTAGAGAACAATTGGTATGTCTTGAGCTTCGCTCTGCCCAAATGGCAAGCTGGAATCAAATCATCCTTAATGGAGTCTTTTTGAGGGACTGAAACGTCTTGGTTTTCTGGAGCATTATACTGAAGAGAGATGCGAGCATGATTTGTCAAATGATTAACATTGCAGTGACAAAGATGCCACTGGGTAGGTCATTTGGTATGTGTGCTGGTGCTACCTGCATTGGGATTTGAACCATGAGTGGCCACTGCCGCCATGATCCCTTCACTTTTGGCCATGATGTACAAGAAGCACTAGGCACTGTGAACCTCCGTTCCACATGGTATTTCTCCAGATAACACAGATGGAAACATGTTTTGGTGTGAGGTTTGTTCTCTGCCTTGATCAGCCAAATCATTCCTGCCAATACTCCTAGGGCAAGAGTGAAGTTTCTTTTGTCTGAAGGGTGTGTCATGTGGCATCCCAGATGCAGTGTTCTTGGTTTTTGGGACTGCTGCTTCATTATAAGCTTAGAATTTCTGAGTTGGATCTCACTTGAATTAGTTTTGGAATAACCCCTAAAAAATTTGTGTTGTGATTTGGTTGAATCGCTGAATTGCTATTTCCATTGATAATAAGGTATAGTAGTTCCAAGAACCAGGAATGTGGCTTTGAAAACGCAATTGTTAGAATTTTGTAAGAGATTGCAGGCCAAATTCCTTTTTCATTTTTAGGAGTGTGTGAACCAGTTTTGGGACAAGATGGATAAAGTAGGTGACACTTTTACTGCTTAAGCATTCAGCAATTCAGTTTTGGAAGTGTTAAAGCTGGTAGCAGCAGCCATGACATTTCTGGATGTAGAAGCAGTTCACCTCAATTTACTATTTGCACTGTAAAGTGTGGAGCCAGCCTGGTGGTTGATTGGATACTTCCAAAATGGTTCTCATTCCCCTGGCATACTGCTATGAATGCCTGGGCTCAGCCCTTTTCAGTGTATTTTTGGTGTTGTAATTTAGAATTACAGGTGTGCAGTAAATCCATTATTTTTAACAAACTTTAAATGTTCTTGTTAAGAGCTCCCCTGTACTATTTTGCTGTTTAAATTATGTGCAGTATTGGATTGTGAGTAAAGTGAGAAGAAAAAGGTTCTTTTTTATGGTGATGCTTATATTCAGTATATAAAGTCTAAAGACATTGTGTTTATATATTTATATCTCCTTAAATGATTTCATTCTTTTAATTAATGAGGTTTTAGAAATACTAGAGTATGTCTAAACATTTATTTCAGTCTAAAATATTTATTTGAAATCTGTTGGCAGTAGATCTTAAGTTCTTTTAAGACATAAATCAAGGAGAAATGGCAGCTGAGAGGCACTTGTACCCTGGAGGGTGGTCTGACAGTCACGGCAGCGGCCGAACCAGAGTGACTCGGGCACGTGCGCTCGGTCACTCTTAGTCTGCCTTTACAGAATTCACCCTGAATGACACCAGAGTCCTGTCGTTTCAGCAAACCAGTGGAATAAGAGCTAGAATTAGTTGTCCTTAACTTGAATGTTCCATCATTGGGCAGTGTCTTGATTACACACAGCCTTTCAGAACAAAAGTTCTGACAAGAGGGGCACTTTCTTAAGGAGAGTCATGTACCCCTCCTTGACTCCGTATTTGCTTCTTTGACACCAGGCTTCTGTATTTCCCATGTTTAGCTTTAGCATTTAGCACTACTCTGGGAGGTCTGGTTAATCATCTTGACTTGTGGAAGCTGATCTTTAGGCCTTGCCCTTTAGAAAGAACCGAGAGCTTACGTGGTGGCACCATCATGAAATAACCACGGGGAGCTTTACAGAGCAATGGGGCTGAGACCCCGTGTGGTCGTTGTGGGCTGCTGTGTTGTTCAGCACCCTGGGTGCCCGGCGCCCGGCCAGAGAGGAGTTCCTCCTGCCCTAGGCATCTGCTCCTGCCTCACCCTTCCTGCCCTGTCTTGGGACAAAGGAAAGGTTTCTCTTGTTTTTCTTTTGGACCACGATTATTTTTAAATGGAGGTATAGTATCACACAGAACAAATGACCCTAAATACCAAGGAGTTGCTAGTGTTAGATGAAGTTTGAGGTTTCAAAAAAGTGGACGCTATCTGACTAGGCTGGAAGGTAACCAGCGCTCCCCAGCTGATAGGTGCATCGCGGCAGACGATGCGCTAGTGCTTGACTGTGAGGAGCCCTGCGAGAAATAAAAGATGTCTCTGAGTAAAAGGTGATCTTGAGCTGTTTGTTTTCTCTCTTTAGTGGGTGGGGTGGGTGGTGGTACTGGGATTACCTAGGGCTTTGTGCCAGCTAGGGGAGCTACGTACCCAGCCTGATTTGGGGCGTGTTCTGCTTAAATGCTGTGCTGTGTTAGTTTGAGAACCTGAAATCCTGTGTAGACAGAGAGCTTGGCACCGGGCCTACTGTTCTCAGCCTGAGGTGGCATACCTGTGGCCCTGCGCTGAGCAAACATGAAGCCTGGGTGAGAAGGAGAGGAGGCGGCTGAGGAGAGGACGAGGGTGAGGTAGTTTACTTTCAGATCAATCCCAGGTTTAGCAGCAGTCAGTTTAACTTATGTAAGCAAAGCTTTCTTTAAGCACTTAATCCGTCTCTTATTATTCAGTGCATCACTTTTAAGTAAATTTTAGATTCTGGCTGACAGAAAACTGAGGCTCAGAGGGTAAATAATAGCCCCAGAGAAACCTCTGCAGGGTCTCAAAAACAGCCTGCATTGTGGGTCTGTTCTCAGTTTAATAAAATCACTATCCAAACTACCAACTTCTTTCTATTTGTCTTTGTTGGAAGTTCAGTCTGGACTTTGGAAAGGCCTGTTTGGTAAAGCATTCATAGGTGTGAAGACTGATGCTGAACCCAAGCAGTGCAGCGGGTGTGGTGTACTCTGGTCTTTGGTCGAGAGGACATGTGATCTTACTGTTGTCACAAATTGGACTAAGTGTGGGCTTAGTCATTACCTGCCTTGTCCATGGTGTAAAATAATTACAGTTCTTGGAGTGGCAGTGTAGTTCATTGGTACATTTTTAGCATGTGTGAGACCCTGGAGTCAATCGTGAGAACCCTAAAAATAATTAAAATATTAAAGACCGTTTTGCATGTGAATTCTGTTCAGTGAAGATTTAGCCTTTATTTTCCCATTATTTTTCTGTCATTTACAGATTTGAGCAGGCAGTGGGAACATAGAAATGATGCACTTTTTGATCAAAGCTTACAAGAGTGCTAAATCACAGTACCATCCAACACTACCTCTGTTCTATTTCGGTTGGTTATATGTGTATCCTCAAGATGTGTTTTATTTTTCAGGCAATATTTCTCATAATTATTTGTTGCTTAAATAGATTACTTGACATTTGTAAAGGTAGAGAGTAACATGTGTTCCTTTTTTTCAAAGTCTTACTGTTTTTATTTAGGTATTTTGATGTTGCAAGTTGAATCAAATTTGTGTGGGCAGCCTGCTCTTGGGATTCCATGCATTCCTTCCATTGTCAGGAGGGGAGAGGAGCCGCAGTAGTCCCCATTTATAACCCACCATGTGAGGTTGCTCTGCCTCCTGTCACCTGCTCTGGCTGGTTCATTCTTTTAAACTCCATATTGTGGAATGTGACCACTCTCAGACTGGCAAGTTTTGCCTCCACATTCTTATTGATAGTTGTACAGATTACATGCGTTTTTGCTTTGATCTCATAGAACTGAAAAAGAAATGGTTCTTTAAAGGCTGCAGGATTATCTTGGAGGGAAGTGTGAAGTAGAAATGACAGTATGCCCTTTAGGACTGGATTGGTGGATTTTCTCAGGGCGGAGGTGGGGACGTTCTACAGCTGTAGGGGGCGTGCTTAGTATTGATGGTGCCTAAGGACAGCACTATTGCTGACACCACAGGTGATTGCAGTCCCTTGGGGGGGGAGTACTTTTGAAGCCAGTGTTTCAGTGCAAAAGGTTGAACTTGGGTGTGTGCCATCCCTAGAATGTGAAGTGGAAATAGTTGTAATGTCTAATATGCTATTTTGTTAAAACATGTATGACCAAGGGAAAAGTTTGGTTTGGGCTTGTTTTTAGGGTATAATAAGAGCCTTTTGATAAAAGTTTCTTTATTGACAGAAAATTTCAGATGCAGCAGTATTTGAATTCTGACAACATTCACTTGTCTTGAATATCTAGATATTGTGGATAATAAGGTTAATAGGTGGTAGTCACAGCTGGTAGGACATAAGCTTGGGGTCTCTTCCCTGTTTTGACATTACTTGGCATTTTCATCAAAGTGGAGACAAGGGCTCTGGTTTCTGATGACGGCTGCTATTGAAATAAATGAATTTTAACACGGTCTCAGGAATTGCCACATTTGGAATTGCTGTACTATTTGTTAGGGTAAAATGAAGCCAATTTGTGTGACTGGCCTTTGGCTGTGGTCATTTTTTAGTTGTCTTACAGGAGTATATTCTCCGAAAGTTACCTTTTGGTCCCTCGCTTTTGTTTCTTTGCACTCATTCTCCTTTCTGTTTGGTGCAAAGTACCTGTTGTGTAATTTGTCAGGAGTGGACAAGGAAAATGAGGCTGTACAAATAAACCTGAGTACTTGGCCCTCTAGCCTTCAGCATGGTACGCATGACCTTCAAAAATGGGAGTTTGTGAGGTAGTTTTCTTGTTTCTCATTTAAATCTTTCCTTGCCTTGTTAATTTAAAGATAAAACTTTAATGTTTCTTGGGATAAAGGAGCTGGAATAGTCAGGACCTGTCAAGGCCATTTAGTGGGTTAATTTTACCATTTTAGGGCTGAACCTAAGAGAATTGGAAAAGGCTTTAACATACAGACTAATCCTTCAGGGGAAATAGATTCCTGAGAACAAACCCTTTTTTAACTTTTGGAGAGCCTGCCAAAAGATTGCTTTCTCTGAGTTAATGTTTGAAATTTGTTGAAGTGTGCCATCTTCAAGTTCAGCAGCCATTTTGGTGGTTGTCTTGATGGATTCTAACATCATCTGGTCATGGTGGTCATGAATGGGCAATCCAAACCTGGAGGGAAGTCTGCAGAAACTTGTGGAATGCTTTGTGTGGTGTCCCCGCCCCCTAGCTTAGAATGTAAGTCTTTAACTGTTTAGTTGCCAACCATTTGAATTTGTGTCCTTTTATGGGGAGGCTTAGAAAGCAGCAAGAAAGAAGCCTGGCTTAATTTAATTCACTGATGAGAATCCAGATGCTGCTCTGGTTTCATGATTGTATATCCATTCTGACTCTAAATTGTGGAGCCTAGTTCTCTGCGCAGGACTAGTTCCAGAATTGGTGGGGCCTACTGCACAATGGAAAACCAGGGGCCTCTTGTTAACAATTTCTGAATTTCAAGATGGTACTAAGAGCATTAAACCAAACAAGGGGCTCTGATCACACAGGTTGTACACCCACAAAGCCAGGCCTGGGCCGTGTGTATGCCTTTGAGCTTATGTGTACGTATATCCTTGTATTTGTAATGTGTGAGCTCAGTTCCGTGGTGTTGTGACCTGTGTGCTGCTGCCTGCTTTGACGAGTAAGAGTGTATGTATGAAGCTTTTCCTCCCTTCCCCAAAGAATGAGTTGTGCAGTCCTTTCCTACAGATTTGGGTTGCCTCCAGTCATGAGTCGCGCTTTCCAGACAGGGAAATTGATAACGGACATCTGTGGAAGTAGCTTGTTTTTGGTGGGAGGAAAATCAAGGACATATTATTGTTAATGACTTTTCACCTACTTTTACTGCACACCTGTAATGCCTAGTTTGGTGGCTTAGAGAATATGGAGTGTTTCTGGGCTTTCTTATTAAGGCAGAGGCTCCATACAAGGTTGCTGATGATTGTTCTAAATTCCCATTGTTTTCTTGGCTTTTCTCCCTTGGTTTATGTGTCGTCTGGAAACTGATTTGTAGTTGGTGAGGTAACATACGTGGAGCTCTTAATGGACGCTGAAGGAAAGTCAAGGGTAAGTGTCTGAGAGAATTTCTTCTGTGGATTTACTACATGACAAATGTAACTGTATGGTGACGTGGACTCGAATGAAATCAGGAAGGCAGTGAGTGCTCATGTTACAGTAGCTATGTTTGATTTTGCCAACATTCGAGTGGGATGGGAGGGGGTTTGCAAATGGGAGTCCCGCTTTTCCAAATGGCTGGCCAAAGAGCGCTTTGGTATTCTGTTTGGATGCCCGATTTGGGTAACTGGGGACCAATAGCAAGTAGCATTGTCTCTTTGTTAACAGAGGAATTGGCTGTGTGTGAATTATGCATGGAATTTTAGCGGTGGTATAATTAATGTAAAATGTGTGTTCTTGTCTAGAAAATGTTACTCTTGGTTGTTTGCTGAATTCGAAAGTTGTGTGAACCCAAGACTCTGCAAAGTTGCCTTTGTGCCAGTAAATTGTAAAACCAAACACTACAAACCTGAATGTTCACAATTGGCTTAGTTTAATGAGAACATACACTATTTCTGTTGTGCAGTAGACTGGCTTAGAATAATCAAAAGGATGAGTTTAATTTATGGGACGGATTGATCTAGTAGGAGTATGGTAAGAGATTGATTGAGTACAGAGGGAAGCAGATCTAAAGCTTGTGTGATTTCTTGGAGAACCTGAATTTAGGTCTGCTCATTATAACTATGGCAAGTATAGCGCAATGCCGGTAATGGGTAGGGAAGGCGAGCTTAAGGAGCCCCAGCTGTTAATAAGGAAGGCTAGAGCAGCTCTGTCACCTTTCCCTTAGGAGAATTAATTTTTAAAAACTAACTTTATTACATAAATCATATTTTTGTGTATGGCTGTCATTGATATTTACTATGTTTTCTTTTTCTTTTTCCCTTTTCCTTGCTCTTCTGACTGGTTTGTGTCTTCTTCCAAAGGGATGTGCGTAAGTATCCTCTAGTTTCTATTGGCATTTGAGACTCGAAAGTTGTAGGATTGGTTTCACTTGTTTCCTTCTGACTCTTCATAGCGTGGTTGAATTCAAGATGGAAGAAAGCATGAAAAAAGCTGCTGAAGTTCTAAACAAGCATAGTCTGAGTGGAAGACCACTGAAAGTCAAAGAAGTAAGCACTCTTTAAATTTCTGTTGGACAGTGACTTTTTCCTGGCGTGTGCGAGGCAAGCGCTGTCCTGAAGAGCCGCCCCTCCAGCCCAGAACTGTGCTGTGACTGTGTGCCAGTATGGACTTGTCCTTGTAGAGGACAAGGGTGGTCCTTGGGAAGAAGAGCCTGTTCGTTTTCAATTCTTATTTATTATTAGGACTTTTTGTTTTTGAGACAGGCTCTCACAAGTATTTAGTACAGGCTGGCCTTCAATTCAGTACATACCCCAGGCTGGCCTTGAATTGATGGCAATCCTCCTACCTCAGCTTCCCAAGAGCTGGGATTATAAGCATATGGCCTGACTGGTTATTAATGAAGAGGGTCAGTCAGTCACAGGCTCCAGCTGCCTTTCCTCTGTGAGCTTCAGAATAGTGGCCAAGCAGTACCCCAGGGACATGAGCTAACCACCTGCCTTAGATCTTGTTGTTGCAGGGACACTCCAGCTGAGCCTGTGGTTTTTATTGGGCCTCTACAAGTAAGACACTTACTCCATCCACCAGTCTGAACACTATTCTTAGACCCATTTTTTTTCTTCCCTGCTTCCCCTCCAAACCTGCCCCCCCCCCAATCTCTCCCATCTCTGTCTCTGTCACTGTTGCAGTCTCTCATCTCTTTCTTGGTGCTGTGATGCAAACCAAGGCCTTGCACAAGCTAGGCAAATACTTTATAGTTAAGCTCTATTCCCAGGGCTGCTTCTCTTCTTTAAAAGTGAATTCGCCTTTATTTAAAATTTCTTATGGGGGCCTGGCCCTAGCTCAGTTTTTTTTTTTTTTTTTTT